TGGGCCTGTTTCCCAGCCACATTTCTCCAAGCCTGTAATGCTGCAGGGGGTTGTTGTGGCCCAAGTGCAGGACCTGGCACTTGGTCTTGTTGAGTTTCATACAGTTGGCCTCGGCCCATCGATCTACTTTGTCCAGGCCTGGACTTACAGTGAAAGTTGTTTTCAAGCTTTTTCTACCTGATATTTCACATTAGAACCCCAAATCGTGACTTGATCTGAACTTGCTGGGGCTGAGCAATAGTAGAGAGACGGAAGCAGCAAAAATGCATTTCTCCATTGTTCCAATTGCTGCTAATCACGGCCACAACTCCTGCTTTTGTGAGCAGATAACAAGGCAAGGAAAATGAGTACCTCCACCTGCCAAGAGGAGTCATCGAGTCAGAAACCTTGATTTGTGCTGATCAGAGAACCCTGTGAGCAATGTAGCAATTTACCCTGAGATGCATATGGAGGAGGTTGCTGCTTTGAGGTTAGCGCTGCCTAAAAAGAGTTTCAAAATATCCCAAAACATCTACATAGAGATCAACAAATGTGAATAATACTATCCTGGGTACTGGAAGAATCCCTGCTAAGGATTCTATTTCTGGTAGTAACAGAAAGAGGATAAAAAGTCTGAAACATGTTTCAAGAATGCTGTCTTCCAGCTCTTAATTTTATTGAAAAGAAAGCATTTTTGTTTAAACAATGAAGATCTTTGTGTTGAGAAGTGATGAGCCTTAGTGCAGTCAGGTATGCTGTTGTCCCTGCGAATGCTGCGTACTGAGGTTTCATCCAAACGTTTAATTTTCTGTTTCACTTCTCAGAATGTTTGGTGGTTTTCATAAGGTGAATGCAAGTGTCAAAAACTGGGGTCAGATATTCAGGGGAAAAAAAAGGTGTTGTAAGGGCAGGGTTGGCTTGGTCAAAGCGAATACCTATTCCATGAATACCACAGCAAATATTGATCTAATTGCATCCAGTTGGAGCTCTGTTGACTGGAGAGGGGACAGAAATATCTAGCTCTGCAATAGCCATCCACATCGTTGACATTGGTAGCTGGATGAGAAGGGTCATGCTTTTACTGTTTGAACTGCCAGCAATAAGCTCCCCAGGAAGGAATGTGTAACAAGGCTTATGGTAAAACCATCAGCCTCCCCCACATTTATCCAAATTATTGTAACTAGGCAGCTCGTCTGCACTAAGGCAGAGTTTGCTCCCTGAAGCAAAGATGTTTCACAAGGGTGAAATGTGCAACACCGGTGGCTCTTGAGTGAAGTTGCCATTAAGGATCTTGAGCCTTGGGGTTTTGAAAGGAGAACTAGTTACTAACCGTCCCTTGAGGTCTCATTTCCATGTCGTTGAATGGCCTGGTTTTGTGCTCAGCAGCTCATTTCCCTGCGGTTTTAAGTTTCACCTGTTTTATTTTATCTTGGAGTTATTAATTTTATTACAAGGCTTCTTTTTCTTCTTTTGTTTCCTTTCTTAGGGGGTTGTTTATCACCATCCATGACAAAGGCCATATTGCAACAATGCTAAACTCTTGGCCTGAAGAAAATATTAAGGTATGTGGCCTGTCGTCTGTGGGCTGGGAAATTACAGGGAGTTGGGTGGAAAATGGGATATTGAGTGGAAGTGCTTGGCCTTATTTACAGAATTGCCTTTTTAAAAGGACAAGCTGAGAAACATTCCCTTCCTCAGAGAGTTTCCAGGCCAATGGTTGGACTTCAGAGACTCTGTCATGTGTGTATGTGGTCAAGAACATATTTATCAAAGGTCGCAAGACCTTGGGCGATAAAAAGAGCATGCAGGATAATAAATTTGTGCAGAATAGGCATCCTAGTGAAGAAATAAGTATGTTGAATTCTGTGGCTAACCTGCAACTTGTTAGACGTACCAAAGCTCTTTAAGATATCTCTGTAACTGACTGACTTGCAGAACTCCTTCCTCAATCCAATGAGTCATGCAGCATCCAGAACACTGGCAACTCTGCAAATAATATCTGATATCCAGCAGCTGAATATATTACTGACACCCCACCCAAAAAGTGATCTTGTGAAGTGTTTTTCACTAGAGCTCGGGGCTGGGCAAGTCCCTGGCGTGAAATAAAGTCAACACTTAAGACAGGTCTTGCCAGTCACCTGCTTCCATCAGTCTGAAAGTACGTGTGCCTGGGAATTTCCCTGGCTATTGACAGAGCTTTGGTCCCCTATCAGTCAGCTGTTTTTCCCAGAACAAAGTTTTGGCAGCGGAGAAAATCTTGCAAGCATTTTCCATTTCTAAGGGGGAAAAAAGAAATTAAATTTAACATGTTTCCAGAAAAAGTAATCATATCCCTATAACCTTGTCTTTGGAACCATGGAGAACAGATGCAGACTAGATATTTTGTCCTTTCTCTGTCCAAAGATCTCAGTATTTCCATTTGTTTCTGACTCAGGAATATGAGCAGAACTCATTATGGCTAACAGATATATTTTTGCAGATGGGGAAGCTGGCAGAGAAAGATTAGAGACTGTTGCTGAAACGGCCCTCTCCGGCACCCAAAACAGACCATAGGAAGGGCAGCAGTCCATGGAAGACATTCAGACTATCTACTTGCCAGGTTTGCCAGACTACAAAGGCATCTAATTTCATCAGTATCACTGGTTTGGACCGCAGAGTTCCCTGTGTCTTTGTGCACAGACTTCTCCATGCCTGAACTGGTAGGCACTGGAACACTTGAGATTTTGAGATAAGTAGGGAGGCACCTGGACTGCACTTAAGTCCCTGGTGGGGGACCAGGGAACTTTTTGAAAAGGCTTGGACCACGCTGAACACCAACAAGAGTAAGTCCCATTAAAGACAGTGAAGAAATACTTGGAGATGCTGCCTCACCTTTTGCTTTGCAGCTCCTTAGAGCCCCGTGGCAGCAGCATTTACTGTGGAAATGGGAAAACTGGGTTATAGGCCTGCATCTTTTGCCTGGAAGGGAGCTCTGCTTAGCTTGGCAAAGCTTTAGCCAAATTCTGATGTGTCCCATCTCCACCACTCTTATTGAAGCTGGACTGCTCTGAAAGAATCATAGCACTGGAAGCAGAACAAGAGAGAAGAAGCCATTTCTGAGCATACACATGTGGGAGTATAGGGTTTTTGTGTCTCTTCCAAGGTGGCTAATGAACCCTGCAATGGGGAAACATTGGATAAAATGCCCATAGCCCTCATCAGTGCCATTCCTTGCTAATTTTCCCGCTGATTCCTTGATCTTGTGCTCTTTTCTGCATGATGGCCCAACTAAAGCAGGAGGAATGCAGAGAATCATACAGGATAGTGTTGTGGTCAGGTATTGTCCTGGGGAATGACAGCTACGGGTTCAAGCCACCTCAAAGTGAGAGAAATCTAGAAGCCATATCTCCTATTCCTGGACAAGCATGCTGCCCTGCAAGCTACTGCACTGGCCTTCCCTCCTTCCTTCCCTCCCTCCTTCCACAGAATGCTTACTCTAGAAGTGCACTCAACATCTCGAGTCCCTGTCGGGATTGCTCCTATACAGGGCTGTTCAAAGTCATGATGCCCTCAAGGTAGAGTATCAATTCATCCTGCAGAGATTGACCTCGTGCAATCAATCCAGAGAAGTGGGAATGCCAGCATTGTCACTTGACTCTCTGCATTGCCTCCACAGCTTGGAGATAGTAGTTATTAGTACTCCAAGCTTGGAGATCCAGTAGTGCTCTGGATCACTCTACTGGGACAGATGCCTCCTACTTTAGCATTGCAAAACTGGGCTAGCCACATACAGCCTGTGATCCAGAGTCACCTCAGCTAACATCAGCTGCCTGAAGACTCAGTGTCTAATCTCAGCTTGTGAGTACTTCTGCAGTGAGCAATGAAGAGGGAGATGAGCATCTTCAAAGAGAAATGCCCCTTTCATCCCTTCCCAAAACAGCTGCTGGAGGGAGGAGATGCACTCTGGAGGTTTCTGTCTCTCCCCATCAGCTATCAAAGAAGTTTAGAAACCAGTTGGATGGTTGGCTTAAACTCCACACCTAACCTTTAGCCAGAGACTTGACTGAGTCATACAGAAAATTTGGAGCACAGCTGGATGTAGAAAAGAGGTTCCTAATTGTTAAACCAGC